GCCTCGCTGAGCAAATGTCGCGGCCCTCGCCGAAATGACCCCACAACCCGCTCCTCAAAACAACCACCTATCCACCCAACCACCCAGCCACCCACTGACCACCCCCCGCCCAGTGGCAACTACGACTACAGCAGTCTGCTCGGTTCCGTTCTATTCCGTTTCCAGCGCTGGAAATTAAGTCAGCAAATGACTTGTAGAATATCAACCCATGTCCAGGGTCCGTCCGTGCGGCTTTCTGTTAGTCTGCGATACTCTACGAAATGGTACATTGAATTCACTAAAAGGATGGTATATTAGGGAGGAAACAAAATAATTATTGAGAAATCTTGTCCTTAACTCCTGGTAGATTAGACAACTGCAGTGGCATGGAAAGTGTAGTAGACCATAAATAACATTTACATTTAATTAATCATAACTAAACAGTAGATAAGATAGGATGATAAAAGCAATTAGTGTATTATATCTGTGTGCTAGATAGCTGACGTTGGTTAGATAACATATTGAAATTCCAGATTAATAATGCAAATAGTAGTAGGTGATCAAGAATGGCCAAGCTATTTCGCTTACCCATGTAGTTTGTAATGGAGAAGATGTGAAATCAGTTTGCATATTAAAGCCGAGGGCATTCAAATAACGCATTGCTGGATAGAATAGATCTTTCTTGTTTTTGTTCGCCTATTTCGGACATGGACAAACTATTGCAACAGATCAGCGGTCGAGCAGCAGCCAGGCGAGCAACAAGATAATCAAGTGTAATTTATTTCGTATTTGCTGCGCGCCATGCATGAGTTCGAGCACCACGACAAGTGCGAGTACGAGCATCTGTGCGATGTCATCTAGTTCGAGTACCTAGTATTTAATATCTAGAGAGGAGCCCACACACACACACACACACACACACGTACATAGACTTATATAGACTTGTATAAACTAGCAGGCGAATCAAGCCTCAGCCCAACCCCCAAAACTAGACCGGATGCACGAGCACTTGGCGTGAGGCGATCTGAGTCGATTTGGATTGGTGTCACGTCTCATATGGCGAAATCATTCAAGCATCCCATCCAGTGCACTGTGCTCTGGTCAGATCTAGCTTTATTCGGCGCTATCTCGATCGCTCGAATGCAGTGCACTGGTCATGCCAAGGCTCTGAGCTACACTTGAAATATTGGGTAAATAGAAAACAATGCAATTAAATTACCATTATCATTACCGCGTGGGATATTTGCTGTATTTAGTTCATATATCTATAAATATTTACAATTCGTCAACAATTTACATTTCAAATACAACTTCTGACTACCATATTATGATTTTTGTTTTCTCCTTAAGTTAGTTTAAGTAAACTTGTTTACTGTTAATCATTTGTTGTATAATTGCCAAGCAAACATGCCACCCATTGTCCGAAATTAATAACGATATTGTCAAGTGTAAGTCCAGGCGGAAGCCCAATGCTTTCCACTTTCCCACGTGCTCCGGTCCACAACAAGTGGTCGAGACACACCCTCTGTCCACTAACCCATCCCCTTTTCCCGACCACACCACACCGCACCACTCCATTTCCACTGCGGCATCCACTACCCATTTCCCCCGCCATGCAGCACGCACCAAAGTGGCTGAAAGCAGGGGAGAGCCAGCACAAATACGTATTAAAACGTTAATAATATGCGAGGGCCAGCAACTCATGACAGCTCCAGCTTCAGCTTCAGAGCCTCAGCCCGCGAAAGTTGCCGGTTGCGATGAAAAGCCGCAGACAGCGGAGCAGCCAGCCGGCCAGGTGAAGGTGCCTGCCTGTCCAACGCAAATCTTTCAAGAGTAGTTCCGCTTTTTTGTTGTGCCCACAGTCACGGCGACACTTCCGCTGCTGGGTCATTTTAAAGGTGGTGTGGCTGTGGGTGTGTAGTTGAACGTGGATGTGGAGGTGGAGGTGGAGGTGCTGGGGCATGTGTCATCAAGAACTGGGCACCTGAGCTGCAGTCTCTCCCCTGCCACGCACTGTTTTCGGCTCTCTGATTATCTTCATATTGTTTACAATTAAAACAATGACGGGTTTCCCAAAAGGGGCGGAGGCGTGAAATGTGCGGCACAGACCAAGTTGAAGCCTCACTGGGCTCCCAACTTCCAACTACCGACTCCCGACTCCCGACTTTTGGTAATTACTTTCGGGCCGGGCGGAAGTGCTCACCATTTTGTTTGTTGTTTCCTCGACTTTATTTCTTACTGCGTATTGGCCAGTAATAATAATGCCCAAAGTTTCTGTGGGCTGGGTCCAAAGTTTCGTTCTGCCAGTTGAGCAGACTGAATGTTAGTTTGGATTGGTATAGCATGGTATGGTACGATTGTTTCGTACGAGTGGTCGGGGTAGTGTATCGGTGGGAGTATTTCTTTGCGCTTCCGTAAGCAGCAAAACGGTATTTTTCCATATTCTCCAGCCGGAGGGAGGCGGAGAATTGATTTCGCCGCGCTTCGCATTTGTTGACTTGACTCTGGACTACTTGATTTATGTAGGGGAAGAAGAGTGCCTCTATTGTATCTTATGAAAAAAGATAGACGGACGCCTATTGGTTGTCTTTTTGGGGAGAGGAAGACAGAAGAGTAACCTCTGCCAGCTAAGGGAAAGCCGGAAAGTTGAGCGGGACGTCTGCGACCACAGAAAGTTTGACCAGGCCGAGCTCTAATCAATAAATCACTTCAAGGTTTTCTTAATTAAAACTTTTCCCTTGCACCCGACCACAAAAAGACTTGTCGAAGCATACTTGTAGACCAAACTTTTTACACAATCCATGGGAAAAAAGGACATAAAAATTGATTAACTACCGGGCGACCACAAAAAACAAGGACGAGAGCAAGCAAAGTTTCGAACCCTTTCCAATAAGAAAAAGTTTCGACTTGAGCAAGAAAAGTGCAAGCCAAAGAAGACACACCAGTAAGGATCGGAGCAGGGATGCAAAACTATGGCCCATAAAAACTGAAAACTATTAAGCGCTTAAGTCAGCCGGAAAATGAGACAAAATAGTTGGCCAACTAAGCTCTGGCTGAGCACAAAGTTGAGGAATAAGCGAGCCATTAATTAAGGGTTGCGGCATAAGAAACAAAATCATTTTGGCCTGAGAACGTTCGAAATCGCATAGGACTAATTGGCAAGCGCGAAAAGAACAATGGTAAAGAAAAACCCGAGCAAAAAGTAAAAGATGAAAAGCCTGGAAAATGTTTCTTAAGCGACCGCAAAAGGCCGGCGAAAGGAAAAATGTGAAAAATCAAAGGAAGCGACGGCCCCACTTGACATTTCAGCAGGTTAAGCCCCATAGCCCGGGTCTCGGTTACAGTTTCTTGTGGCACTTCTTGGGCCGTAAAATATTTACCCAGGGTAAACAATACAAGCCGCTCTGGGGGGGAATGGAAATGGGCGAACCTTTTGTCACTACCAAATCTCGGCTGGCCCTGAAAACTTGGCTATTGACATAATTGTGGGTGGCAGTGGCCCAGGACTCAGTACTCAGGACTAAGAACTCAGTACTCCGTACCAAAGTCACACTCAAGGCGTTGCCGCCAGACACTTAAAGGCGGTGCTGCCCTTCTTCCCCCGAAGAAACGAAGACGAATCCACCCTCAATTAGATGTGAAGAGGCTTGGCTTACACTTGGCCAATTTGGCACCCAGTCCACTGGATAACTTAACTTGGGTTTAACTTGCAGTTACAGTTAAACTTCCACTTACACGCTCGTTACGAGTTGTTGCCGCAAATTAGCCAGGCTCTTTGTTCTGCGAGACGTTGCTGATTAGTCCTAGATGGCTTTCTTATTGGCACTTCCGGGCGAAACTTTTGCTGCATACTTTGCGGGGCATTACAATGGGTACTGGGCCAGAAGGATGAGAATGGAGTGCTTGGATAGTCTGTGGAGTGGCTATCTTATCGGATTCAGTCCTTGATAAACCTCAACTGTCGCCGTCTATATCTAATCGATGGCGCGCGCTTTTAGTTAAATTATTGACTCGACCTGTTTGCATAGGCACTTTTATTTGCTTCAAGTACTATTTCGATTTATCAGCACCATCTATATGCATATATCTCTATCCATATCTATAAATGCGAGTGCGGTTTACCCTTAAAGCAAACAATCGAAGCTCTGCTCCGTTCTAGTCCCATGCAAATAGACCGCGAGTAGTTTTGTTTGCATTTCGGTTTCGAGCCCAATCTTATCAGTCGGAAGGATTGCGATTGGAAGGGGGCTAATTGCTGGGCTGGCATTGTGGGAGAAGTTTTCCAGGAGTGGGCATGCACATTAATGCACTAGCTAGCTGTCTAATTTATGTGCGACCTGTTACTTCTTCTTCCGCCAGTTAACGAATTAAACGCTCTGCTTCCGCTTTCAATGGGTCCAATCAGTCGAAAACCACCCTTTTGGCCAGGTAACCCACCCCTACCGCCATTCTTTTTCCAACTCGGTTCCCACCAAAAACACATATTCGTCGGCCCTTCTGCGGAATTTCCCGTTTATTGGTTTCTTTCCGGATATTGTTATGTTCGGCTGTGAACGCCTTTTCCTTCCGCTGCTCGACGCCTTTAAATTACCACCCCCAAACCCCTTTAACTAACCTGTAGTAGCGGGTCCTACGTATTTTCTGTTCTTGCCTCGAAAAGTGCAAAATGATTGCGGTTTCGTGTTGCCCAGGGGGAACTCCCCTCCTCAAATATTTTCACTTGCAACCCCCATCCAAAACTCTCCCACCGCTCCATTTAATGTCGAAGCAACACGCAAGTTGGAATTGTTGCTGCTGCTTTGTGTGTGTGGCCCTTTTAATGTTCCAGACTGTTTCTTTCTTTCAGGTGATCATACCAAAACAATTAGAAATCATGAGTAAACCGTTTTTATTTTTAAGAGGTTCTTATACTAAAAACTAGCGAATAGAAAACAGTACCAAACTTTTTACATATGAACTAATTTAAAATGCATTTATTATATATCTATATGGTAAAATGTAAATATTAAAAAGATAAAGCGATCGTTGTAATGTATTTTAATGGCTTTGACAGTCCAGTTTCAAGATCAGTTCAGAACGATCACCTTAGCGCAAACACATGTCCATCAACATTTATTTGTAATACTAAATTTAAGTCGTTTTAATTAAAATACCATTTAGACATTAGGCCGATCGTTCATTCGGGCAGGGCTGCTATCATATCACTTGCGATTATCTATGCAGGAAGAATCCTTTTGGAATGCGCTGAACCCCTGTCTATTTAGTGAGGTTCCTGCGCTGCTCATCGATGTCCTTTTCGTCGTTGTGGACTGACTTCCGAACAAAGCGTGCGGACAGCTTTGAGAAGAAGCCCACTCGCGAGGAGCGTTTTGTGTCGTTGGTGGATGGTGGAGTCTGGAAGTTGGATGGCAATTTAATCACCTTCAGGGGAGTGCTTGTCGAGTCCACCTTTTCGAAATTAGGCGGGGCTCTTCTGGTGGATGGTGGAGCTAGACTTGGGGTCTGCGGACCGGGATTCCGAATGTGGTGTGCGGTGCTGGCCAACTTTTGGTTGACGACCAACTTTCGTTGAGCACTCAGTAGAGTTGGCTTCACATCCACTACTTTCTTGAGCAATGCTGGTTGTGGGAAACTGGACGGCTCGGAACGTCTTGGATTGGCGGCCTTGTTGGCAGTGCGGCAGATGAATTTTGAAGGCGGCGGAGTGAAGGCATTTGCCAAACGTGGAGCCATGGGACGATTGGAAGCGGCGACCGGTTTGTTCGGTGTATTCTTGTCCGGTGCAAAGGTTAGTTGGCTTATAGTTACATTGGGAGAAGTTTCAGGAACACGAATGCGACTGCTGGCTGGGGCTAGTGTGGGAGGATCCCTGAAAGCAGCCGATTTCCCGGGAACGTCCAGGAGCATATAGGTGCAGTAGATGTCGTCGAACTGCTGGCTCTTCAGCGACTGCTCTACATCACGAAGGTTGTGACCCATATTGGACAGCAAATCCAATCGATAAATATCCTGCAGATCCATAGGTTTCTCCTGAAACGGCGTCAATCCATTAGCTTCCTCGTAACCCATGTTAATCCACTGATCCGCCATCACTGCCGATAAGGTAATACGTTTCGTGGGATTCAGAACAAGGAACTTCCTAATAAGACTCTCGCACTCAATGGAGATGTAGTAGGGCACGCGGTACTTGGCACGCAGAACTCGGTCGCGTAGCTCCCTCAGATTAATGCCATCGAAGGGTAGGGAACCAGTCACCAAGGTGTAAAGCACCACTCCCAGGGACCATGAGTCCACCTCCGGTCCAGAGTATTTCTTTCCTCTGAAGAGTTCCGGAGCGGCATACGGTGGACTTCCGCAGAACGTCTTCAGTTGGGCCTTTGGCTCAAAGGTGGTGCTGAAGCCAAAATCAGCGATCTTCATTTTCATGTGCTGGTCCAACAACAAGTTCTCCGCCTTAAGATCTCGGTGCACAATGGACTTCCTATGACAGTATTCAATAGCAGACACCAACTGGCGGAAGAGCACCCTGGCATCATACTCCCGCATCCTACCGTTTTTCACCAGATGATCGAAGAGCTCTCCTCCGCTGACATACTCCATCACCAGGTAGAGGGTCCTTTCCGACTCGATAACTTGGAAGAGGCGCACAATATTCGGGTGGTTCAGCATTTTCATGATCTTCACCTCTCGATACAACTTCTGCCGTGCAATCGTATTTAACGAAGTTTTGTCGATCAGCTTGATGGCCACTTCCCGACCGGTGGGCAGATGAATCGCCAGCTTGACTTTAGCGAAGTTGCCCTTTCCGAGTGTCTTGATGATCTTGTATACTCCGTAGCCGTTGCCATTTACATAAGATTGGAACTGGTGATTCGACGTGGCTCCACTGCCCTCAACACATCCGCCCACATCCTGGGCAGCTGCAGGAGGGGGCGTGGCGGTAGAGGGTTTCGATGTATGGGGATGGGGATCGTTCTCCTTGTCGGACGTTTTGTCAGTGTTTGCTACCGTCATTTCTGGTAGGATTAGTTTTTCTAAATCTCAGCAAAGCGTTCGCCGCACACTTGTAAGGCAAACTGATTTGTCAACTTTTCCGATGGACTTAAGCTTGTTAGAATGATCGGGCAGCGCCTGCTGTATCACTTTCTCTATCACTCAATCTTTCTATCACCTTGAGATGCCCCAAACCAAACCGGGCATCTGCCTATTTGGTGAGGTTCTTGCGCTGCTCGGTGACATCCTTTTCATTCAAATGAATTACCCTCCGACCGAAGCGTGCGGTTAGCTTGGAGAAGAATCCTACCCGCGAGGCGGGCTTGGTGTCGTCCGCGGATAAGGGTGGCGTCTGGTAGCTGTCCTCCTCCCCGCCTGCGCCATTTCCCGATCCACCGCCCCGTTTGCCACTGCGAGCCTGGCCGAAATGAAAAGTGGCCCGCGCAACATTGTGTCGGGTGAAGGGTTTTTCGGAGGTCTTTTCCACGGCTCCCGCTCCTGGAATCCGTTCTAGCAATCGACCACCGATGGCCGGCGACTTGGGCACCACAAGTGGAGTAACTGCAGGTTCCGCTTTCTCGTACAAGGTCGTGGGTCGCCTGGAGGACCCCTGGGCTTGATTCGGAGTTTGGCCAACGGGGTACTGGAAGCGTGGTGGAGTGTTAGCCAGCTTTTGTGTCTGGGCCAACTGTCGCTGGGCGCTCAATAGCGTGGGCTTCACATCCACGTTGGCACTGGCTCTCTTCGACTGTGGGGTGTGCGGCAGACTGGAGGGCTCCGGACGTCCTTGGCCACTCGAATGGTTGGTGGCCTTGCGGGCTGGTGTCCTGGCTGGAGTGCGACGTGTGGGTTTGGCAGGCGGTCCCGTTGGCGGCGTCGAGGTGGGCGTATTGTGGCCATTTGCCAAACGCGGAGCGTTGGGTCTGCTCGAGACGGAGGCGGAGGAGTGGATGGGCGGATTCTTGTCCAGCGCAAGCGTGACATGAGCTATGGTAACAGTAGGCGTGGTGATATTAGGAAGCGGGCTACTGACAGATGGAGAAGTTAAATCCACTGTTGGTATAGCCTCCGGTTTCGTACTGCGGCTCGAGGAGCGCGGCTTGGCCACGCCCAGCAGCATGTATGTGCAGTAGATGTCGTCAAACAGTTGCCCTTTCACCGACTGCTCCACATCACGACGCTTGTGGCCCATGCTCATCAGTAGATCGAACCGGTTGGCATCCTGCAGCTCCATGGGCTTCTCGCGAAACGGGCGCAACCGGTCGGATTCATCGTGGCCCAGATTTATCCATTTATCGGACATCACCGCCGAAAGCGAAGTGCGCTTGGCGGGATTCAGGACCAGGAACTTTCTCATTAGGTTTTCGCAGTCCATCGAGATGTAGTAGGGCACACGGTACTTGCCCCGCAGGACTCTTTCCCGCAACTCCTTTAAGGTGCCCCCATCAAAGGGCAGCGAGCCACTGACAAGGGTGTACAGCACCACTCCCAGCGACCAGGCGTCCACCTCCGGCCCGGCGTACTTCCGGCCCATAAAAAGTTCTGGGGCAGCATATGGTGGACTTCCGCAGAACGTTTCCAGCTGGGCATTGGGATCGAAGGTGTTGCCGAAACCAAAGTCCGCGATTTTAATGTTCATGTGCTGGTCCAGCAACAGATTCTCCGCCTTCAGATCTCGATGGACCACAAACTTGCTGTGGCAGTACTGAATGGCGGATACCAACTGCCTGAAGATCACCCTGGCATCCCGCTCCCGCATCCTCCCGTTCTTTACCAGGTGGTCGAATAGCTCCCCACGACTCGCGTACTCCATCACCAGGTAGAGTGTCCTTTCCGACTCGATGACTTGGAAGAGGCGCACGATATTCGGGTGGTTCAGCAGTTTCATGATCTTCACCTCGCGGTACAGCTTCTGGCGAGCACTCGTATTGAGCTGCGTCTTGTCGATCACCTTGATGGCCACTTCACGTCCGGTGGGCACATGGATCGCCAGCTTGACCTTGGCAAAGTTTCCCTTGCCGAGTGTCTTAATGATCTTGTACACGCCATTGCCATTGCCATTTACGTACGAGTGAGACTTGACATCTGTAGTTTTGCTGCTACAGGCACCGTCGCCCAAATCCTGGCCAGCTGGTAGAGTAGGCGTGGCAGGTAGGGCGGTGGCATTTGCGGTAGTGGGCGTGGCTGGCTGGGCAGTGGCGCCAGTGGTGAAAATAGTACCCGTAAGATGGGAATCCGGATCGTTCTCCTTATCCGACGTTTTGTATATGTTTGCTGCTGTCATTTCTGTTTTCTCACCCTCCTTACCCGATGAGAAGTCTAGAATTCCCAAGCTGTTGTCCACGGACATTATAATACTGGAAATTTTGGAGCTCCTAGTCAAAGGCCAATTCTGATTGCCCAGGCGAAAGTTGCTCCTATTCAGTGGATCTCCGAGTGTGCCGAGCACGCGTCGCTGGATGGAAACTATCGCCTCCCCTCAAGCTGTAATTGCTGGGTTTCGTTAGTCATCAGTCATCGGGGCCGTTGTTTGCACATCTGCTCTATTTCGTCACCCTCCCGACAGCCAGAGCTTTAAGATAAGAACGCGTGTTTGCAACCCTTAGCCACCCCGATACCCTCGCATGGCTGATAAGCGGCTCGTCCTGCTCCTTGCGGCAGGATCACTTTGTCTCGACGCACGACCGCATGAGTCGCTTGTTCTTTCAGGAGGCGCTATTAACAACCCCCTGCTTCATATGGCACGAGCCTTTTGTGATCCTTCGGTGTGATCGTGTGCCCCTGTTGTTCTTGTTTGCGACTGGCGAGGATATATCCCAGCTGGTGGTATTCGGTTTCCTTGGTCAGAGAGGAGTAGCAGCTGCCTTCTGGTGAATAGAGAGAAGAATGATTCGATTAGATGTTGCGAGTAATCGGAATCCGGAACTTAATGGTTGCTCAGTATAGAGAATCTGTATTAGGGTAATTTCATTTCACATGAATGAAACTAATAACTATATTCATATTTTATTTCGTACAAGGAACTTATTTTCAGTAAAATTATGTCAGGATATCTTGTTGTTTTGCTCAGATAAAATTTTAAAATATTAAATATTTTTTTTAGTTTCTTTTATATATTTTTTTTTAAAGGGAAAGTAAAAAGCAAGCTATCAAAATTATGACAATTATTATTCATACGAATGTTACGAATATGTATATATATGTATGTATATATATTATATTTTTATATATTTTTTATACATAATTCTCTAATCGCTTAAACATGTTTTAAACATAAACACTTTTACATTCCGCAGAGCCATTCTTGGTCTTATCAAATAGAAAACAAGCAGCACAAAGATTTAAAAAATGTGTACATTTTATGTGGCTTGATTCATATTGTACTGACGATCTATCAACTTATTTTTATGGACCTTGCACCACTGTGCACTAAGTGATTTGCTCTCTCCCCTAACAACAGATTTTCAATCGACCTGAAAAACTAATCTTTCCCTTTGTGACAAAGTATTTTCTTCGGCTCTCTGTTCTTTCAATTTCATTTTTTGCATGTCCTGCCGATCCCTAGCCACACTCACACACACGCACGTCATTACCTATGAGGAAACTACCCTAATGGGTTTTACCTAGCTATGGATGTATTGTAAAAAATTAAGTACTACAAAGGAACGGGTCCTTAATCTGCCTTTTCTTTTGGCCGGCTCGTTCGCTTGCATTTCTCTCTTTTGCTTTGCGTTTGTGTAACGATTTCAGGTTTTCTCTGCTTGCTTCTTTGCGCGTGTGTATGTTTGGTGCCTGCGTGTCCTTGATCCTGCTGACTTGTTTTGCTTGCAACCTTTTCTCATCATCCCTGCTTTGCCTGTTGTCTGGTCTCCTTTTCCTCCGGCTCTTCGCTTCCTTTTTCAGCTCCTTCGTGTGTGTATTCCTCTCTCTCTCTCTCACTTACGGCATATGCATATGTGTGTGTTTTTGAGTTTTTGTGAAGCCTCGAAATTTTGAAATTGCAGCTGCTACTTTTGGGTCTTTGTATTTATTATTTTTGCCTGCTCTTCTTGTTTAACCTTCCCCCTATCATCTTCTTTTCTCTTTTTCGCAATAACAACAGCACAGATCTGTGGAAATTTGCCAAAACAACAACAGTAAGAACAAGTACATGGCATGGCTTGGTTTTAATTCTGGGAACTGGCGATCTGTGATCTCTTGGTGGGCCAGTGATCGCTCCCCTTTTGCCACCAAGTTCAATGCACCCCACCTAGGGTTACCCCCACTTTTCCTGCCCCACACCAGTCCCCTCCATCTCTCTCTCTCTCTCTCGATTTTTCCAAGATACCAACACATGTCAACATGTGCGGGTCTCGGTCCCCCATCTCGTTTTCCCCTTTTTCGCCTTTGTTTTTCTGCCTTCCCATGGGATCTTTGGCTTGTTTTTTCCGAACGCCTCTCCGCTCCTTTCCTTCTGGTTTCTTCTATTTTGATTCTGGTTCTCTGGCCGTTCTTTGTTTTTTCCTTAACCGATTTTTATCCGCGCCAACACTGAGTCATCGACGACTTTGGGGATCTTCAGGCGCCTCATTCTGTCTGGCACTCATTCGTTAACACACTTACTCTGCACAAAGCGATCAGATACATACAGTTGATCCATTAGCTGACCTTAATAAAACGCCTCTTGTATTGAGAACCAAGGAACGCCCCCTTAAAGACACACACAACGGACGCAAGATAAGGCATTTCGGTACCCAAGGGATACGATCTGGCTTATCTGACAATGGATGCGAAACTCTGAAAACTCTCAGTGACCACCGCATGCTTGCTTAATTACACTCTTTACTTACGCATCGGTCCATTGGCGATCCCCCCTGGCGGCAATCAAAAACGAATTAGCGGTAATCCAGTCCACAAGTGTACCATATCGCTCCGTATCCGTATCGTTGAGCGAGAGCGAACTTTCAGATACAAGGCGCGCCGTAGTACTGAAACGCATTGAGCGGAATATCTGAAGACAGGTCTTGAACGTCTGAGACGGGCTGCTGAGCGGAGAGCGAAGAGCGAAGAGCGTCTTCTTGCGCTCTTCTTATGCTCGAACTCGCTCACTGCTCTTCCTCCATTACCTGCTCTTCCATCGCTCGCTTCGCATTCCCACTCATTCGCTGCGGGCCGCTCTGAAGGTCGTTTCCTTGAGCGTTTCTTGAGGCGTGACGTCACGGCTGCGAAGGGGAGGCACTTCGGGTGTCTCGTGCTTCGTCTTTGTTCGTCTTTGCGGCGAATTTGCTCATTGTCGTGGTATTCGTCTTCGTCTTCGTTTGAGTTTCTTCATTGGTATGGGTTTTCTTGTGGTGGTGCTGTCGATAGTTGTGTGTGTTTCCTTGTGTGTGTTTCATTGTGTGTGTGTATGTGTGCCATCGAGACTTCCCCATTCGTCGTCAACAGCTGTATCGTCATCGTGCCATCGGTGTGGGAGTAGCCGATGGCCATATCTGTCTGAGCTGTCCGAGTGGTATTGGTGCACCAATAAGAATCGGCCAGTGGTTCCAGTGCTTCTTGAACAACAGCCCCATCCCCTTGTCCCCCGTCACCATCTCAACCCAATCCGTTGGAGCGCTCTGTTTTGGTAGGGAATGATTAAAAAGTCACCACAACAAATAATAATAATAATAAAATGCATTTCTTTTGGCCCGCAAAAATTTCTTTCATTTGGCATCGCTTTGGCCGGCTGAAAGGAAAAATTATAATGACAAAGTAGGCGACAAGAAGGGGTGGATGGGTGGGTGTTGGTCCGATTGTAGACGTAGACGATGATTATAATAACAGTTTTCTGTGATTTCTCCTCGATTCCCGATTCGTAGTCCCCTCCTTGAAGGCAGGGCTTAATTAAAAAGCTTTTGGCCATTCACTTGGAACAAAAATTAACCCTAACTTCAAGAATATTTCCATTCAAAGTGCATATCGTTTGGGGGCAAGAAAATTTGAAATTCATCGTCATATTAAAGTACTTTATAATATTTATATAAATGAAAAACCTATTTTAAAGAAATTTTTGTCTCAGTGCACTCTTAGCTTGGCAGTTGAAAACTAACAATATTCTCTTGGCTTTGAGATTCGGAATTGAAGGTGTTTTTGGAATTTTGGTGGGGGAATTTGCATTTAGATGAACCAAAGAAGCCAAGACAAGTAGGCCACAGTGAAATGTTAATGAGGAAGCGGGTAATTCAGCATGCAGTCGATAAGGCGGCTGCCTTTGGCAAAAGTATCTGCAAGATACACGTGGCACGCACACCAGCTGACGCCCCAAAAATAGGTGAACATAATGCGATTCCGATTCCGACCGACAAATCACAGTTGGCCACCAGAGGACACGCGCCACCTGATCAGGATGCGATATCTATAAGGAGAGCTCTTTCTTCGGCAATATTTGATCGTGCTGAATGCGGAAAAAGCAGATTGCAACTGCAGCTGACTTCGGATGTGGACAAAAGGACCTCCGGCAAACAAAGCAGCCACAGGATATGCGATACAGCCACTTTTGCACATTGCCCCGATGAGTTATGGACTCCAGATTGCGGACCAGAAAAGGCCAGCTTCTTGACAGACAAATGCGGGTGCATATCGATTTCGACTTGGGATCGGCAGGAGCGATGACTCCTTGGACCGTGATCTGCATTTTTGCGTCCTTCTTGCCGCATCGCGAAAGGTGCAAAATGAAGGACGAACGTGCCGCAAAATCTGTGCGGCGACTTAGGTCTTTAATTGGGTTTTGCGTTTCACTGTCGATATTCAATAACAGCTGGCTCTCGGCTAAATACACAAATTAACCCATTCAAACAATGCCTTCTTGGAAAGTGTCAAATTCAACCTCCGATCAAGGACCAAACAATAGCCAACCAAATGAGGGAAACCGAAATGCATGCATATATATATATCTGTATCCCTGACAATAAACGAAGAATCACATTTTTCAGCTGTCAAAGGAGGGGGTAAAATCTCCCGATGTTCACCAAGAAAACGGCTGATTTTCTCACAGTTTTCCCGGGGCATTTTCGTCAATCATTTGTCGGCCACTTCAGCCCTTTGGTCGTGGCAAATCCTTTGCACTTACTTTGCATCGCAGTACTCTGTGCAGTTAGATCGTTCATTCATCCATTCATTCATCGGTCCATCATCCCCTGCCCTTAGAGGCTCTACCTGCCATTGTCAAAGAGTTTTCCTTTCGATTTGGTCGCAGTTCCACTGCTTTCTAGCTTTTTGTTATATTTTTGCATAGTTTTGCCGGCTTTGTTCCTTCCCGGGAACGGGGCGAAGACTGCTTAGGGATAAACAATATTAGCTGACTGAAGGATTTGCATTCGGCATCCCATTGTCCTGACGGCGACCCGAAGAATTGTCAATAAAAAAAATATTTTGCCCATGCGGCACTTTGCCCCCATCTCCGTCAACTGCAACACTTCTGCCTCTGCCCACATGCGGACTAGATAATGATGGAACTAATCCTTTGCCTCTCACCAGAATCGCGATGGCTTTGCTTGCCTTGGATTGGCCTAATTGAAAAGCGGCGGCAATAACAGGGGCAGGCTCAGAATAAGAGGCAGCCGCATAATGCATTTCGGCATAGCAATTCGGAAAACTGAAATCTGCATAATGCAAGTGCATCATCTCATATGTGCCGTGTGTGGGTGGGTGCACAGAGAAAAATCTTTTGCAATTGACTAATTATTACAAGCAGAATGAGAAAGTATAAGCAAATTATAATGTGGTAAATTTAATTTTTATTTTTGGGATTGTCTATGCCTTTTATTAAATAAGTTAAACTACTAAACTACGAAGAAAATATATAATATTGAGGCTAGTTGTTCCTTGATAGTTGTCTCTAAGTGTAGTTGTGCCCTATGTTGGAGGCGCCTGGGGGCCAGCTTATTAGCAAAGATTGTCAGTCAGCCGCCGAACAACAACGGCAGCAACAACAGAAATTGATTACCAAATGTGCACGGCTTTCGAGTGGTTTTAGGCTGAAATGGGATGGCGATGGCGGGAGGGGGGTTCAGTGAAGGGCGGATAGGCAGGCTAATAAGCACAAAAATCCACATAGAGCAGCAATTCCTTTTAATTGAAAATCTCGCTCTCGCGAGCTTCCCTTTTCCCAATTTCCCACATTTTGTTGTTTTCATTTTCGCAATTTCTTTGCGGCTGCAGTGCGTTTAGTTGATAGGAGGGCGGGCAAAAAGGGGGCGTGGCTGCAGCTCCAAATGCATTCGATATTGCATTTTTTTCTCCGGCAACATGCAAGGATAATAAGGACTTTAGCCAGCTTGGGACTTTTTTGTTTTCGAGCTGTTTCATTTTACTCTCTTTTTTTTGGACTGATTGACTTGCGAAGCGTCCGCTTAACCATCGCCTGCTGCTGCCTCATATCTCACACCATTTGGCGTTATCCTGGCGAAGTTGATTGCAGCAAGGACTTGCGTCTACATTGCGGCCCGAAAAATTGCATTGGATGCATTTGCTGGGCAAACAAACTGCCGAAACAAGAGTCATGAAAAAAGTTTAAGGGCCCCAAACTCGTGCCACTCCCGCTCCGCGTAAGACTCGCTGCATGTGCAATGCATATTAGCCGAGTTGTGCCCTGAGTCCTGCGACCTGCGTCCTGCCTCCTGAGTCCTGAGTCCTCAATCCTGGATCCGGTGCCATCCTCGGCCTGTGCATTGTCCTTTTGGTCGAGCGCCTTTCCCGTCTCCTCCCACGGCGTTGGGTTTTTTCTGCGGCTGCCTTTTGTTTGATTTGCGAAATTGCAATATGCTGGCTGTCTGGCTGAACTCGTCTCGTCCTGGCCCTTCGGAGACCCCACCCCGCTTACCCCCTCCACATACGCAGGATAACTGCAGTTAGACTGCAGTGGAAGTGCAACCGGCTTTTGCCAGGACATTCCTATTTTGGGGTTAAAATCTATAGGCTCTGCTTACTCCCCTCTTCATGCTTATTAATTAATTGGCATTGTGTATACAATTTGTGTGAATTATTTATAAATGCTTTTTAATCTGTTCACTTATTTTTAAATGGCTCTTGCTTTGTTGTTATCTCTATATACTTTAAGTACTTAATTTATCTTAATATTACTAAGCAAGTAATTGATTTATTGTTTGACCTATTCCGACATGAAGTAACTACTGCACTGCAAATGATTCCTTCACCTATAATATATTTACCCCTTCGCCAACTCTACTGCCTACTGGCATGTCGAAAATTCACTTGTTCAAATGACAGATTATCCCCATAAATATTTTAATTTGATTCATTTGCAACCACTCGTAGTTCAACCCCCCAAAGCGCTGCAGCTCCTTCCCCGATCAGGTTGATGTCCGGTCCCCGTTTCCAGAAAAACCTTTTAATTCGAGTGCGTTTTTCATCATCAACAGCGGTGGCCACCCCATTCCACTCCGCCCCTCCGCTCCTCAGTTCCCTGTCCCCTTGGCCAGATTTCCGTTTAGGTCGTGGCGCACTGAAAGTCTTGAGGCTACGCCGGAGACCCTTCAACCGACTGCGCCAAAATGCACTGGACGTTGGTCACGACGCGGAGCAGAAATCAAACAATCAAACAAAATGAAATCGCCGGTCTGCCCCTTTTCGCTCCTCGCCTCTTGTATTTTACTCCCCCCTTCCCTGTTTTTTTTTCTTTTCTTTTTTTGATTCTGCTGCTGCTCGCGAGTTTTTGTTGGCTTTGTTCTGCTGCTGCTTTTGTGCACACGCCCCCTCAAAGTCCAGTTTTGCAGTCATCAAGTTTGCCCCCCCCACGCCTTCTCCTCGCGGGGTGGCAGAGTATAATACCCCTCTGCTGGCGGGCTTCCGGCTGCCCATGCTTCTTTGGCATGTCTTCGCTTCCGTTGCATCCGTCCATCTTGCCCGTCGCCGCAGTGCTCCACTCCGCTGCAGTGGCTGCCAGACGAAGGAGCCACCCTTCGAGGA